CAAACTCGCTAACTGGCTGTTGTTCACCTGACAGAAATTACTTTCAAGAACCTGCAATGCATTTTACAGCAGATACTTAAATAAGAGCATACAGTGGAGTTGAATGTCTCCCTAATCATGCCTAATCCAGCACTCGTGGGCCTTGGTTAAAGTCACCATATGCGTGCCATGCCACCACTGATGTGCTAAGAAATTGGTTTGCTGTACTAGAAGAACAAGTTATCACCCTGCTCAGCAAGACAGGAGCCAATATTGATGAAGCTGGCTCAGAGCAGGGAGTATATGCGGAACAATGTGGTGGAAAGGAGGCAGCCTAATTAACTCCAACAAAACCATGGAGGGGTGGTGTTTTGGATGCCTCCCTGGAAAATCTGGCCTCAAGGTGACAGTGAGAGCTGCTCCAAATACAGCTTCCTTGCAGCTCCTGGAAAAGGCCCATCAGGCACATGTAGGACACAAAGGAGAAAGGCTGAGCTGCTAGATGCTTGTAGGAGAGCATCCATAACCCCTTGCTGCTCTTGGTGAAACCAATCCTTATTGATATGTGAAGTCATCTCAGCTCTGCAAGCCTGTAAAAAGCACATGATGAATAAGAGGGCTAAGAGTAACATGTTTTTCATCTGTTTTTGCCATGTAGTTGTTTTAACTCTTCTTTCTCCATCCAAAGCAATAGGATCTCATTGTGTTTTATTTTTAACAAGTATGTCCCGTGGATGTTGGAGCTGGGGCTGTTGCAGCTGGATGCCAGCAGGGGATGGGAAGTCTTTGCACATGCTACTAGAGCTAGATCCAGAGTCTCAGCTGTGCCAATGCCATTTTATGCCAGGCATAAAATCCAGGAACCTAAGGATGCTTTAAACACATAGGGGGAACGAGCCATCTGAAAATCAGGAGTGATTCTCTCTTTCAGAAGATGGTGCGAAGTTGCATGGAGATTACAGAGCCAAGAACTGTCGAGGGAGGTGAGAAAGGAGGCAAAACACCATCCTGTAGTGCTTTCCTTCCCCCCTCATCTCTTTTCACTCCTTACCCCACCTGTGCTTTGATGATTTTCCCGGAGAAACCTTGAATCAGTTCCATTCTGCCCCTCCAGCCTTGGGAGCTCTGCTTGCTATCACACCAGCCAAATCCAGCCAGATTTCTTCCTCAGAGCATTCATTAGCTGACTCTAACCCACCTTGTTGGGATTATAGCTATCTTTGATCCTGCTGCAGTTAGGAGACATGTCCCGTAGCACATCTAATTTAGATTTGCTTTGCATCCTGTGGCACGGATGGGGGAGTGGATCTCCTGAGAGCCTGTTCTGAAGAAAGCAGCATCTCCCCACTGCAGCCAGAGATGAACAAAACAGTCTTTACTTTCCCTCTTTTGGGGAGGTGCCACAGAGAAAACTCTTTGGTGCTTTATATTCCAATTATCGCCAAGTGCAGCCTCACTACTTGATTTGCGGTTACTGCACATTAGAGATGAGCCGATGCATTGGACTCAGCTACAAAGAATCAGTTAGCTACCCTAAACCTAGAAGTCATGGCAAGCAATGTTTCCTAGACAATTACAGCATGGCCTGCGGAGTATTCCTGTACTCAGACGCAAGGGTGTTTTAGTCACCTGTAAAGCATATTTAAGGTCTGAACTAAGCATCTGAGTGAAGTGCGAAACAAGGCAAAACCAATGTGTATAGTGTAAGGAAGTTAAGGTGGGAAGAGCTGGTTTTGCAGGATACTTTGGATCTGTACACTGTCCTGATGGCACGTCGTGGTTCTCGGGGTGTCATAGTTACCAGTGAGGTAGGAAACAGCGAGCAACACCAGCGGATTTGCATGAGTTGTTTGTAGGGTGCATGTGCAGCCAACATCTATGCTGCTGCTTTATTTCCCTCTGCAGATATTAGGGCCAGGCAGCCCTTCTTAGGACTTTTTTTGCTTTTCTGCTCCGGAACATGTTCAAGGGCTTGAGGAACTGCCAACAATTCACCTCTCCCACTGCATACCTGCCTTTAACTGCAAACCAGATAGGTCAAGATACAATGTTGACCAGTGAAAGTTTCCAGCCTCCCAGTACACCTGAATCGCATGTGCCAGTGATGTGCCCTCTAGCTTGGAAAGGCTTACCATTCACTCAGGCGGCTGACCTAGCATGTTTCTTCCTCCTGCTAGGGGTTGCATTTCCTCCCTTGGTGGATACAGCTGGCTTTAGCTGAGAGAGGTAAGACATAACCACAAAGCAGTCAACTTGTAAGTCACTGCCAACATGGGGACTCGTGTTCTGCCAGTATCTATGGTATGGGTGCCAGACAATCCGGAGAAGTGAGGAAGGAGGAGCAGCAATGCTGTGGCCCAGGAAGAGAAAGGGAAGATGTCTGTGGTTTGTTTGCAGCTGTGAGCAGGGGAATGGGTAAAGTAGTTTAAAGCTCTTCTCACTTTATGGGGAGAGGGGCTTTCCCCCTTAGTTTATGTTTTTTTTTTTGTTGGTGTGTGTTTTCCCCATTGGTAAAATAGATGACATGAAAAGGAGATGCTGGGGAGGAAGGGGTAACTGAGGAGCCTAGCTGACTGAAAGATATGTATGTTTGAAATGATAATGAAAAGTCATAATTTTCTATGCAAAAGAGGAATTCAGGCAAGAAATAACTCCCTTTCAGACTATTTTAGTAGAGGATTGGGAGTGACTCAGATGGCAAGCGCTGTTTCTGGAGAAAGTGGGGAGCTGTGCTTAACCCTTCAAACACAGCTGGCTTGATTTCCCCTTCCAGATTCAAGCGGAGCACTGAAATTGGTGTTTGTTAGCATCTGTATTATTTGGAGCTGGTGCCTGGGGCCTTGCTGTGCTGGAGCTCCTTCCCCAAAAGCCCAGGCAGCAAAAGAGCAGTCAGGGCAGCTGTGACATAATGCTCTTCCAAAGCCAGTACTGGGTTCAGGTGGGGTACGACCTGCTCACGAGCCCAGTAATTTTTGCTTAACTGCTCCTGGCAATGTTAACTGGAACATCGTGACCACCCTGCCCGAGGTCATATGCTACCGTGAATGGAGAAATAAAGTTTATTGCAGAATGCTAAACTACAGGCAGAAACCTGAAGTTTTAACACCCTCTAAAGCAGTGTTGCTGTTACTGAGATTTAAAATACAAACCTGCTCTCTCTGGATTTAAGTTCTCTGCTATTTGATCTCAAGGAGCATGTTTTTAAGCTTCTCATACTTGCTTAAAACTGAAAGTTATGCCTCGTTTTCTTATTTTGGCTTCATAATTTTACCTGTAAGCTTCATTGTATCGGGTGAAACCTAACCCTTGCTAGTAGAAAGTCAGAATTTGTAAACCACTGGTACAGTGGGCCCAACCATTTGCCCTGAAAGAACCAGAATGGGGCTGTGGTATCCCGGGAGCTGTTGAGTGCTCCAGCCGTGAACTTGGTATGAGCAAAACTTTGATTGCCAGCCTAATACCTTAACCCACATGAAAGCTTTGTGACTCAACTACTGCCTACTGACTTTAGCTTAAAATGGTGAAGACCCACACATCTGAAATGTGGAAGCAAATTGCTCTTCAACTCTCACAAAGACATGGTTGTGACATGGCTTGTCAGAGAAGTGAGTTGGGCCAACTAACAGATAAATAAAACCAGGTAAGTTTTCAGGAATATAAATCATTGCTTTAGTCTTATTTATGACCACAAGTGTCTCTTGCTATACGGGCTTGCTGCCGGTGCATCTTGATGCTCCTCAGCCTGCAGCAGAGGAAGAAGAGGCATTTCCCAGGCTGCAGTGCTGCAGCAGCAGCAGCGTCCTGAGCTGAGTGCAAGAGGAGAGTGCCACCCCCTGGGTAGCCAGCACGGGCGATGCTGCAGGGAATGTGTACTGCCAACGGGCAGGTGCTGGCTCTGGGATAGTTTGGCCCACGTTGGACTTTGATTGACACAGTCCTCAGCCCATCCTGCCTGCTAGATGGGGCTAAGGGAGGCTTTGTCTGGAAACTACCTCACCTTCAACCTGCCTGACCATGACTGCTTTGGGAGCAGCACAGATAACACCTTCACTTCCCTCACAGACATTGTCTTCTATCCAGCACATCATGTACCCTCAGAAATCCACCTCTAGTACTTGCTTAATTCTTTTGGAGTGCTGTCTTTACACCCATCGAGATGCCTGGGTTTTTTGTGCTCATGCCCCTACGTGTCTCTTGTCCCTCTTCAGCCCCATCTTCTCCCCTAGCTTGAAATGAGCCCACACACACCAAGTCCAGGAGACACCATGAATGTGAAAAGGATGGGTAGGTTTCTAAATACACAAACTACTGCTACCCTTGAAGGAGAAGACCAAATAGCTCTTAAAGCAAAAAGGAGTGGTTTTGAGGTTAACCAAAATGCTAAAAAAGACATGTGTTGAGGAAAAAGTAAATCCCATCCTTCACACCTGCCTGAAGACACAAATAAGCTGCTTCTTGTGCACCATTTGATACTTGTAGAGGCTATAGTAGAAACTATGCTTAGGTCAAAGCTTTCCTTAAGTCAAAGGAAAACCACTTACAGCATGACTGTGTGAGCATCTGAAGCCAAAGCCTGGGAACACCTTTAATGTGGGTGCCCAGGCAGGAGTTGCAAGTGAACAAAACACCAAGTGACTGCTCTAGGAAGAGAGATGATGTGGAACAGGATTTCTTTGGCATTCCTGCAAAGCCACCACAGGCCAATGCCAAGTTTGTCTTTTATGTTCTTAAAGCCAAGTTAATTCTTTTGTATTTCAGGTGTGCAACAGCTGCATTTTCCCTTGGAACAAGGTTTATTAAAACTCTGACTGGGTAAGAAAACCCAGTCAGTGTCCCCTGGCACCAGCCTTCTAGGCTTGCTGTCCCCTGAGGCCTTCACTAAGATCTTTTCCTGACATGCTTCCGCCAGGAGCTAATGTGTAAAACAAGTTATTAATAGTGGTATTGTAGTTCAGGAGGGATGGATTGATCTTAAAGGAGGAATATCCTTATTTTCTTCTTACAAGCCGAAAAATGACACATTTAATTATTTGCAAACAGACTTTATTATGGTTCCTGTAGAACCACTCCTGCCCTGGCACACAAACCAAACCATTTAATCATTTTCGGTACAAGCAGAAACTCGTATTTTGTTTGTAGGAAAACTGCTTTTCAAGGGATACCAATTTAAAAAAATCATGCAGTTGAACAGCTGCTCATTTCCTCCTTCTCTGTTGTCTTGGCCAATACTGGAATACATCAGAGTTCCAAGAACTCTCATAGGGAAAGGCAGGGGAGAGCTCCATTTTAGATTAGGAAACGGGTTTTGGAGAGCCTTCCCCAGCAACCTGGTAAAAGCACCAACCAGTAATAATACAATAGCTAGAGCTCCTCCTGCCTTTGGAGAGGAGCTCTTTTTAAAGCCTGACTAATGCATTAGAAGGGATTATAAGATTAATGAGCTCCTAAAGGGTAGAGACCCACTTCTAGAAGATGCCCCAGTAATTGTTTATTTCAAGGACAGTAATGCTGCAGTGAAAATGAACGTTTTCATAAGCCTTGGAGTTAGTACATCCAGAGATGCACAGAAGGTTTGTCAGCTCCCTGGACATCCACGCAGGGAATCCACAAGTATTTTGGTACAAGCAAATTCTCTATTAAATTAATTAGCTTTATGAATAAAAAAGTTCATGTTAAGACAAGGACGTTGCTTTGACGTTTCTCCTTAGGCAGTCACTACTCATGAAATGATCTTCACCTCAGGCTTGGACTCCTCCAGCGCTCTCAGTTCATCATCCACTTCAGCACTCCACAAAATGTCGTACAAACTAACCCAAACAGAAAGGTAAGCTGGTTTAGTGAGCATCCTCCATTAAGGAAAGAGAAAGATGCACAAATGGCCAGTATAGGAAGATCATGTAACAGAAAGGGCCCCATCTAGGTTTAAGAGACTGGCCCAACAGCCAGAAACACGCCTTACAGGACAGGACCATATTACTCCCTCCCCAGCATCACCTTCTCCTTGTTCTTGGGCCCTATGGACCAAAGCAGATCAAAGCACTGTGGTCATGTCACTTGGAAGGGACAAGACAGGTTTTGCAACATGCAGATGGCACATGACTCTCCACCCTCTCCCTAGGCCACCAGTTGCCCTCAAGAGCAATTCCCAGAGAGCTGATGCTTTCATCCCCTCCCTGAGGTCACCACCTGCTGGGGGAACGCATGCAGGACCACAAACACCTCTCACATTAACTGCTGCACGTTGCAGCTGGGGTTCCTCAAGGCTTCGCAGATCTTCCTGATGCCTTCATCTTCCAGTGGGTTGTAGCTCAGGTCCAGCTCTGTAAGGCACTGCTTGGTAGCCATGACAGTGGCGAGGGCTGCACAGCAGGCTGATGTGGCATCACAGTTACCCAGCCTGCAGAGAGAAGAGGGGGAGCTGCAATGAGCAACAGCTGCAGACACCAGCCCACATCCAGGCAGCAAGCACAGATGCCTCTAGCATGGACCACAGATCCCTGTTAGACATCCTTGAGGCATCAGCAGGGGCTGGTCCATGGTTTTCCCACAGAGACAGCTGTCCTCATTGTGACTGCTGAACACCTAAAAGTCCTCCCTAAAGCTCAAAGGCATGTGGCTTCAGTTGGAGAAGGAACCTTAAGAAGATATTCCCAGCTTCTGTTTAGCCTGGAGATGAGAAGGCTGTGGGGAGATCTTATAACAGTCCTCCAGTACCTAAAGGGGACCTATAAGAAATCTGGAGAGGGACTTTCTACAAGGGCATGTAGTGACAGGACAAGAGGGAATGGTTTTAAACTGCCAGAGGGTAGATTTAGATGAGATATTAGAAGTTTTTCACTATGAGGGTGGTGAGACACTGGCACAGGTCGCCCAGAGAAGCTGTGGCTGCCCCATCCCTGGCAGTGTTCAAGGCCAGGTTGGACAGGGCTTTGAACAACCTGGTCTAGTGGAAGTTGTCCCTGCCCATGGCAGGGGTTGGAACTGGATGAACTTTAAGGTCCTTTCCAACTCAAACAATTCTGTAATTACATGATTCTGTGAACTCCAACATCATGCATAATCTCTTTGGTTTCAACTGATCATAAAGTGCCTCTGATGTTTATTACTTGAAACTTGCAACCATTTCTCTAAAAAGGGCAACTGAGGCCTCTCACCTGAGAAATGAGTAGCTTTAACTGGTCATCAAACACATCTTTTTGGGCAGAGATCAAGTGTTACTGATGTCTCTTGCTCAACTCACTCACTGTGAGTTCCAGGCATTGCAGCACAGCTCCAGCTTCTGTCAAATTATGTGGAGGGCATGAGCATGGTGCCCTGAGCACCATGCAGGCCACAGCCAAACCATTCCAGAGCTTGGTGCCCACCTGGGAAAGGAACAGGCAGACGGAGAAGGCAAGTCCCACCACAGGGCTGGACAGGATCCTTCTGCTCCTACTGATGAGGCTGGACCAGCACTTATGCTGGCACCCACAGAGACTATGGAAAGCAAGAGGCAACTGGTGAATTCAGGCAGGCTTTGCACTGTGTCTGGCAGGCATGAGAATTAACGTGCCAGACCTGGACCAGCAGCTCTTCCGACTCAGTGTCACATCTGAGAGAGTTCCTGTGGGTGAGTTCAGATAAGGGCACAGGAAGCTCTATGGTGAGCAGTTCACAGAACAAAGCAAGATCCACCCTTTGCTTTAGATCCTGAAGGTACAGGAAAAAAAATACTATGCTACCACCTATTGCTATCTTCCTCTCTCTACATGCTGTTCTTGGAAGGGTAACACAGCAAGAGAGAAGACGACTTCTGAGGGTGCACCTTACCATAGGGACTGGATGTTGCAGTTGGGGTGCAGCAGCCCTTCACAAATGAGTTCAACACCTGCATCTCTCAACTTGTTCTCACCGATGTGCAGTACTTTCAAGTGCTTGTTCACACTGAGAGTAGAGCTGACAGCCTTGCAGCAAGCAGTCGTGAGCCCACACTCCCTAACCCTGCAAGGCAAAAGTGACATGAGATCTACATAGGAGATCTAGAGAGTATCAGGCATCATTCACTTCACATTTGCTTCATAGGAGCCCAGACAGTGGGACCAGAGGAACCAGAGCCTTCCTACAATCACCACTCTCAATCCACCATCAGCTCAATCCTTTCTAAACAGCGCCTCACCCACTCTATATTTGGGATGTCTGTCTTGGAGCATGCATCGAGGGAAGGCACCTGCCCATAAAGCACAGGAATGACATGTGCTGCTCTCACAGTTGCTCTCAGCTCCACTGTGCACTCCTGAGGCACCATATCAACTCCCAGGCCACCAGGGCAGGAGAAGAACCCAGCTGGGCCAGGAGCTGAAACTGCAGTTTAAGAATGTTCAAGTGCTGCTTGTTCAAGTTCTAGGTGAAAGAACAATTTTCCTCTCCTGGCCAGGAGAAACCACACCATCCCAGCATAAAAGGCAACTCTGTCAGCAGAGAGGATGCTGAGAACGCTTTATGTCTTTAAAACCTTCTTTTGGCTCATCAATGAAACAGCTTGAATGCAGTGGAGGACCTGAGATATCTGATCAAGCACTCAATTTGGTATTACATGAGGCCTTTCAAACTTCAAAAGTCTCTTAGTTGCCATTTGTTGCAGTGTAAAACATATAAGCCAGAAGCTCCACAAGTGATGCTTGGTCTCCTGTTGTTTACAACAGGATGAGTATGGGGCAGATCTTCCCCACAGATGAATTTAGAAATACAAATCCTTTCAGCTCTTTAAGTCTAAATCCTTTAGGTAACAACTGGCATAAGCTGTGTGTGGAGCCCATTGCAACTGAGGATCTATCTGCTGCCATTACTTCACCTGCATCTTTCTTGTCTCCAAAGGCAGAGGGTATGTGAAACTTGACAGCAGCTCACCATAGCTCCTGGAGTTTAGATCTGGGATCCTTGAGTGCCTGACACAGCATTTCCATCCCTGAGTCTCTCAGGTTGTTGTCTATCAGACTGATCTCTGTGAGGCTCTCTTTTGTACTGATGAGTCTGGAGAGATCATTACAGCTAGCACTTGTGAGATCACAGTCCCATAACCTACAGGGAAGCACAAAGTATTATTTCTCCCCAAAAGACTGACTTAAGAATAGAAAACAGAGTCCTATTTTAGCATTCTGAATGTCTTGTTACATCATGTCATTTTCTTTTATCCTTTACAAAACCCATTCCTGCTTCATACCACACAGCTTTCTCCTTACATTCTATCCATTGCACCAAAAGCTCACAATAAAGAAACAGGGTCACGCAATTCTAGTAGAAAGATAGCTCGACAGGAAGCCAAGACAATGCCATTACCAATTTCAATTCACCCTCTCCCCAGTTTGTTCCAAGCAATTCCAGCGCAGCTCTTCTCTCACACGGTGTCATCCACCCAGTTTTGAGAACTAATTTGCAGTAGAGACATTCTTGTTTCACTAGGGAGTGTAATAGGGAAACGTTCTGAACAGGAGCAAACCAGCTGCACCAGGTAGATCACTCAGAGGCCGCAGCAGGGATTTCAGGAGCCTCTGCCTACCCTTACCATAGCTTCTGGATTCTGCAGTTAGGATGCATCAGTCCTTGGCACAGCAGAGCCAGACCGGAGTCCCCGATCTTGTTATCCCCCACAGAGAGATCTATCAGTGACGACTTGCTACTGAGAACAGTGCTGATCTCCCGACAGCTATTGCTGGTTATGCCACAGTTCTCCAGGCTGCAGGAAAAGAGCACAGTTGGAGTTGCTGCTCCAGACACGCAGTGTTAGATACAGCCCAACATCTCCAGTTCAGAATGAGGAGGGCCTATGGGCTGGTTCCTTGCTGGACACTGCTAGACCCTGCAAGACTCAGATACAGGTATCCTAGGTGGGGTCTGAGTGAGGCAACACACCGCTCCTGCGCTCCACAAGGCTGCAGGGAACTTTGACTCACCCCTTCACATCTGTTAATGCAAGGATCAGTTATACCAGACTGTCCCTTTGTATTCATTGTCCTTTTTAAGATGAACTTTTGGCTGTACCACACAGTGAGTACCTGGCTCCCAACCTCTGCTGAAACACAGCGACAAGATAAAATGAATCATGCTTCTCCCCTAAACCCCCTCAGGGGCTTTAACCCAGACATGAGGCCAATGTATTGAAGCAAAAAGGGGATCTAAATATATATACTCAGATGGCTCGTAATTCAGGGGTAAGAACTGGAGCCTCTGAGGATGATTGCTCCTCTGATCTTAGATACTGGCTAACAGTTACCCCCCAGTCACTGCAGGTTTAACCTGGGGTACATGCTCACACTGTGCCAATAGATGTAAGAGTAAGCTCAGAATCCTGTTCTATGAAAAAATAAGGACAAAAAAATCCCCAAAATGAAAGCCCCAGACATTTGCTTGCAGTTTCCAACTACAGAAATCTGAGTCAGCAAAAAAACTGCCCTGAATTTCAAGCATTCCCGACAATAATTTTTCCTGTCTTGGGGGTGGTATGACTAGCAGCAGGACTAGTTCCAGCTACAGGCAGCCAGCTTTTCCTTACTGTAGTAACTCTAGGTTGCAGCTTGCCTCCACCAGTCCTCGGCACAGCTGCTTTACTGCTGTATCTCCCAGCGTGTTGTTACTCAGGCTGAGCTCCTTCAGGGTGGGCTTGCTTTGCAGAGCAGCATTGAGAGCTTCCACAATATCAGCTGTGAGTTCACAATACTCCAGCCTGCGAGAAGAAAGAAGTCCAGAGGTAAAACAACTGTCTTCACCACATCCTGCTATCCACAAAGCATCAGCTGTGCAAAGTGTGTGCTAGCCAGGGCAGAAAAGATGTCAGTATGAGCTGAGACCAGGCAACACATGGAAACAGAGGTAACTACAAGAGTTTTTAACAGCACATCCCTGTTCATTTCAGGAAGCATTAATTCCTAAACTAGATCCCAGGGACTCTAGCAAGGCTAAGTACCTACCCCATTTTTACACAAGTCGACTGTTACACCAATGCACAGGCTGCCTGGAACACATGACTGAGTTTTGCACTGCAACACATCACACAGCATCACCACCAAGCCTTCCCAGGAATAACTGGGGACTGTGAATAGGCCTGGATCCTGCTCAGACATATAACAAGGACCACGTGCAGCAGAATCAGACCTTCCCTGGGTATCTGAGAGGTCTTGTATTAACAGCCACCACTGCCAGGAGTGCTAAACAAAGCCTATGGGAATAGACACCCACCTCTTACAAACCCACAAGACCTACCAGCATGAATAAACATTCCACAATTTCAGACAAAACAGGAAGAAATCCGTATCTGGCAACAAAAGTCCTGCTTGTCTCCAGGGAAAGACAAGCATGATCTGTCTGATGATCAAAAACACCCAGTGACTACTTACTGCAGCTTCTGCAACTTACAGCTGGGGTTCATCATCCCTTGACACAGCACCTTAACTCCAGCAGTCCCCAGTTTGTTATCACCTACATGCAGCTCTGTCAGGGACGGCTGGGCACTGAGGACGGAGCAGAGTGTCTCACAGCTGGCACTGGTCAGATTGCAGTTTTGCAGCCTGAAGGAGAGAGGCAACCAGGGTGAGGGAAATGCACTCCTGGAATTACAGAGGCTCTTCTCAGAGAGGTGCATGTGCTGAGGTTTGATCTTGGGAAGGACTCCATGGCACTGACAGTGTCTAATGCTCTAGAAGGTGGCACGTCCAGGTTAGTACTGCTGGTTTACAGATGTGCCAAAAGATCTGATCAGCTATTATTATGCCTGTAGCTCCCATGCTTCCTTCAATGTAATTACTCTTATAGCACCTCTAGCAGAAGAAGGCTTCACCCTACATTAAGTAGCACTGCAACTGCTTTATAGAAGTGTTTTAATCATCATGAGGCTTATCCTGGAGACAGGGCAATGGCATCTTACAATTTCTTGCCACCTTTGGAAATATGATCCAGAGTAGCTAAAAATGAAAATCTTGCCCAACCTGGCTTAAATCTGGGTATCATTAGAATTTTAATGGTATACTACAAGAAGCATCTATGAAGCTGATCCTTCAACAGTCAGGCTGGGAGAAGTAACATAGGAACCGCACTAGTATTGCTGTGAGCTATTTAGAGCTATTGGACAAGACTTCATGGCAATGCAGAGATTCTCTGCATGTATTATTAAATTTGATTTGTGTTTGGTTGCTCTTTTATTCCTTAAGACACCTTACCAGAACCCCCAAAATGGAACATTGTGTTTCTACGGAACTGAAACAGCCTAATCCAGGCTGTTACTTGAGCATTTGGAGAAGTCCAAAGCTAGGACAAACTCTCTAAAAAAATGACTTGTGTTAGTCTATACTCAATAGAGAGTATCATGGTTATTTCTTGAAGGCCCATCAGAAGGTTGCAGTTTGATTAGCTTCACAGTCAACTTCCCCTCTATTTGTCAGTGAGTCCTCATTGCCAGGGCACAGGGACTTTGAAGCAGGCATATCAGACCTAAAAGGCAAATTATTTTTACAGGGTGGTGCCATGAAGATCCTAGACCCACCTCAGGACCTAGGGGACTCCAGTACACTGCAAAAGAGTTATGGACAGAGAAGGCAGCATCTCTTTGTGGGTCACTGAGGAGCAGTGGCAGCAGCCACTGGCTCTGACTAAAGCTCCTGCACTGTGGTTGCTGGGGGAAGCCCACTATCGCTATAATGTGGTGCTGGTCCCTCTGCAAAACATGCTGTCTTGAACCAAGCTGTCCCTGCCAAAATGAGGAGACGAGGCTTGAGGCACAGCCAGTCTGGTAGAGAGCAGAGAGACTGACAGCTCTTGAAATGCCAAGGCTCATGAGAACATCCTTTTGCCTGGCTCCTAGAGAAAGGAGCAAGCAAACTGGACCAGATGCTAAACAGTGTTTATAACTGGCAGAAAAGCCTCTGAAAATGCATTTTTGAAAATGTCAGGTATGTACTAATGGCAAAGTGGGCTCCTCTGTGGTCATCCTTTTATTTAAACTGGCCTAAACAGATAACCCAGCTGCCTCTTCTAAAACAAAGCCTCCAGAAAGCCTTCCCTTGGCTGGGAAAACCCCACCTGTCCTTCTCTTGGTGCGGGAAGGAAGACATACTGATAGTCTGGAGTCTTACAGTATATGTATCACTTACATAAAAACATCTGGGTATTTCCAGCCAGCTGACCTAGGCAACTGATGAGGTGCACTGGCATGGCTCCTACTACCATCACATACTAGTTTGCCTCATGACTTCGCCTGCAGCAGACTGCAAGCATGTTGGAGCAAAACAATCAGTGGGGCTTTACCATAACTTCTGAAGGCTACAGCTTGGCATCAACAACCCTTTACACAGGTATTCAATGCCTTCATCTCCCAGCTCATTGTTGTTCAGCTTCAGCTCTGTGAGGGACGGATTTGTACTGATGATGGAGGAGAGATCTTCACAATTATTGCTGGAGAGATTGCAGTCATCCAACCTGAAAGAGGAGAGAAGGAGCACTTTAGTCCTCAAGGTTGCTCTGTTCTCCCTGGATGGAGCACAGTCCGTGAAAGCAAAGTGAGGAATTTACACCCCTGCAGTCCCTGGATACCTCCATAAGTACGTGCATGGCCAGTCGGGCGATGCATGGCCCAAATCTAGATATGCTGTCTCTGAAGGGCTGCAGTACAGCACAGACTGGACAGCAGATCCCCAGGCCACAAAACTCCGTGCTGTGTAGAAGAGGACACATGATGCAAGTCATTTTGCTTGGCAGGACTTCAGCTGGAGGATGCACCTTCATTTAAGCACTGATAGCAACAAACTACTTGGTGTCTGAAGCCTCTAACCAGAGGCCATCTTACAGGTTGTCAGACTAGTTCTGCCCTGACACCAGCCAAGCTGGGTCTTCAGCCAGCCCCAGAGGCACCCATCAGCAGTTTTGTCTCAGGTAGGTGAGCCACACCAGCCTGCACTGTCTCTCTCCAGCATGACTCTCAGTACACAAACTGCATTGGCTTCTCCCACTGGACATCAGCATTTTCCTAGTTGTTGCTAAACTGATGGGGGGGAGTTGAATTCAAAGTAGAGCCAAGGAAGGTACTGGGAGCACAGGAAAGCCAGGTAGGTGTGCAGGGAGGCAGAAAAGAGTTGGGACAAAAGGAAGGTGTCAAGCCCTAGGTACAGCCAGAGCCAAGACTACCAAGAGTTGCCTGGTCACTTCTCCTTAGACAACACTATGAAAACTGAGGCTCTAACAGGATTCTCCTTCCCTCCCTTTGGGAAGAAGACTGGGCTTCCTATATGGCATCATGTTCAACACCAGTTAACAATTCCTGCCAATACTTTAGAAGTCCAAGTAAAGAATTAAAAGCTGTAGCTTGTGCATGACTATTAAGTTAACAGTTATTTGACAGCATCTGACCTGCAGCCCTGAGAGTGTGCAAAGTAATGAGCGCAGAGAGATGTCTCCCCTCTCTGGAGGGAAAGGGAGAAAGTGAAAGACAGAATTACAGGCCGTCATCAAAAGTTTAGATAACCACATTACCTGGCTGAGTTCTTCACATGTCTTAGAACAAGGGCAGCATTACATAATACCAAAGGATGCTTATCTGCAGTTGAAAAACTTTGCAAGTGGATGGTTCCCCCCCTTCCCATTTAAATTAACTTTCTGGATAAAAATAGGAAGAAAAATTACTGGGCAATTTCCAAGTCACACTTCAGCAGTTCTGCAGCTGAAGAAAACAGGAGAGAAACACAATAGTCCTTACTTAGAAGAGATAATATGCAACCAGTTACTACCTGATGGTTTTGCAGGATTTCATTGTGGACAGAAGTTCAGCCCATCTAGATGGGCTCATCTCCTCACACTGGATGTCAAGCTCCATTTTAACAGCTGAGATAAGACCTGAAAATAAATAAAAAAAAAAAATTAAATCAAAACTTATTTTGCATTGTCTGAGAAGCATCAATCCTCTTCAACCCCCAGCTCTCGGCCACTGCATAAGAGGACAGACTGCGTTTTTCCAACACCAGCCTGCTGCAAGCACTAGTAGGAGCCAGCAGCACTGGAGTGGTTTTGTCTGGGGCTCAGCAAGGCCCTCTCCTGAGAGGCAAAATGTACACGGATCCCGGAGAAATATGGCAACAGCTTATTATCTAAAGGCTTCTGGCGAGAGAATAAGACACTCCCCTTCCCTCTCCAAGGGAGCTTAACCAGAATGCATATTTTAGAGGTACTGGTGCTGTTTGCTCACTATTACACTACTGAGCCACACAGCCACTATTACCAGTGTTGGCGTATCTGACTGGTTGTGGGACCTTGAGCTATACCTAAAATTAGGGTATTTCTGAGAGAACAAGGAAGATGAGCTGGAGAACTGCCTGGGCTTGGATTAAAAACCCTGGTGGCCGCACATCTTTATGTGAGAGGTGGAACCGAGGCAGACGGGAGAAGTGCTCCTCCACGATCTGACAGCCAAACTTTGAAAAGTCACTCTGGTTGGGTAAGTACAGAGAAACTGACAAGCAGCACTTTTTTGTTTACTCTGAAGTTAAACTGCATTTCTGAACTGAGGTAAACACCGCGCTTTGCAGAGCAGCTCCAGATAGCTGAGCTCTAGGCCGAGTTGACAAGGGATAGCATTAAAGGCAGTGCTCCAGTGGGTGACAAAACGCAGTCTTGGTGTCTTGGCTGTGCTAACATGACTCAGACTACGGGATATTTATATATTTAAAGAAAAAAAAAAAAGTCTCCTGAGCTGTCACATCAGAATGTGAACAGCAAAAAAAAAAAACCCCACCAAGGCGTTACTGGCTGCATTTCATCACTCTCTTCCCCGCCTCAGTCATCTCCTGCTACCATAAAATCAAGGCTATCCCAAACTAGGCTTTTCACAGACATAAGCTTGGTATCAGAGCACACACCATGTTTCATCCACAACAAATCCCACATCCATGTGGGGAGGTGAACTGCCACGAGAGCAGGGAGGCACTGAGGCCATATTCCTAAAACACAAGAAGGAAACCAGGACACCGAGGCCAGCGTTAGCAGAGCTCGTGTACTCTTGGCCTCTCCTCTTTCAAACCCTCAGCGGAACGCTGCTGGACATCACGGACACATCCTCGGTGGGTTCACAACACAACCCCACGTGTAAAGAGGGTTGTTGTGTTTAAAATCAGCGCTGATCCAAACCAGTGTGAAGAAGTGAGAGAACAGCGCACAGTTACACTCTTTAGCAAACGCCTCCCAGGGGATACAGGAGCTTGCTCTCTGCATTACCCCTGGTTTACCACCCTCAGACAAAACAAGAGTTTGGGGTTTTTCCCCCTCGCGAAGCCCTGCACGTTCCCGTAAGCCGAAGAACGGGTGACCCGCATCTCCGAGCGCAGGCTCGGTCCTACCCAGGCGGGCACATAAGCCATCGCGGCTGTTCCGGGCCTCTTGCTGCAGGCAGAGAGCTGCCCTCCCTGCTCACTGCGCTTCTTCCCCCCCCCCGTGTTTCTCGCACGGCAGCTACCACCGGAGCGGCCCCACATTGAAGCTTCAACCTCCCTTCCCGCAGGCCCCTACTCCCACCCCTCCCGCAGCTCCTACCGCAGCTCTTCCGGCCCCGCACCGCGCAGCCGCCGACGCCCGCCCCGGTCCCGCCCCACGGGGCGCGGACTGCATCGCGGAGCCGAGCTGATCGGGGAGGAGGGGAGTACAGCAGTACAGCAGGCGTCCCGTTCTGCCTCTTCCTCCTCTCCCCTTTTCCACTTTCTCTCCTTTTCCTTCCTCCTTTCCTTTTTTTTTTTCTGCCTTCTTTGCCATTTCTGCTCCTTTCCCTTCTCTTTCTCCCTTCTTACCTTTACCTTTCTTCCCTTTCCCTTGTCGTCTTCTCGCTTCCCTCTCTCCTCTTTCCACCTATCTTTTCCCCTTTCCCCTCTTTTTTTTCTCCTTTTCCACCTTCCCTCCTCCCCTCTTCATCTTTTTCCTCTATATACTCTTGCCTCTTTTTCCCGTTTTCCTCACTTCCTTCTCCCTTTTTTTCTGTTTTCACCTTCTCCATTATATTTTTTGTGCTTTTCCCATTTCCTTCTTTTTCTTCTTTCTCCTTTTTCCGTTTTCTCCCTCCTCCCCTCCCTTTTTCTTTCCTCTTTTTCTTCCTTTCCTCCCCTTTATTCCTTCCTTCCCTCTTTCCTGTGCTTTCCTCTTTTCCATGTTTTGTCTCTCTTTCCTCCTTCCTTCTTTTGTTTTTTTTCCACCCCTTCTGCCCTCCTTTTTCCCCCTTTCTCTCCTCTTTGCCTATTTATCCCCTCTTTTTAAACTTCTTCCCCACTTCCCTCTCTTTCTCTTCTATTTCCTCCCTTTCTGTTTCTCCTCTTCCCTTTTTCCCATCCACCCCTATCTTACCCCGCAGCAGGAGCACTGGAATATTCAGGAAAAAAAAAACAGGAGAGGGGGAAATCCCTGTAAGTGAAGGGGTGCAAAAGGGATAGGAGGATCAAATGTTAAATGGGAAGGTGTCCCACCAGGGCTGGGAGGGTAGCCTTTGCTGGGATCCAGAGTGTAATGGGGATGCACGCAGGTCACCCAGGGGAGAGGCAACATGGGGGAAAGCCTTGGCCAGGGGAGACAGGACCTCCCTTGTACTTGTCCGGGGAGTTCAGAACCGGGAATAACAACAAAGTTGTCTCCCTGACTTCCAGCTTGCCAGATAGCAGCTTGGAGGGCCTGGGATGTTTCTCCCGTCCATCCCTCACCAGTCCTATCCGTGACTCATCTTCTTTCATATTCTGTCTCCCTCATTAGAGCAACACGCAGACGAGCACACGAGCCGCACCTCACAGGCAAAGGCCTCTGTCTCCTCTAAGCTGTCTGAAACAAAACCAGGAGCGCCATAGAGGACGGGCGCACCGGATTTTTGCCGCTGCACTGACTTGCCCGCCTCTGTCCCCCCGCCGTGCCGCGGCACCCCGGACACCCCAGTGGCCACCAGCTAACCCGCACACCCGTCCCACATCCCAGCGCCTGGCTGGGGCTGGAAGGCGTTCGTCATCGGCCTGCTGGCTTCCTCCTCCGGCTGCCGGCTACTCCCTGTCTCCCTTTTGTTTCCCAGTACTTTTATCCCCAGTAATGGCTAGTTCAGACTTTCACAAGATAGAGCAGGTTTTGAAGAGAGAAAAAGGTTTTGAAGTGCCGAGAGCTCGTACTGAGTTGCCTCCCTTCCTTCCCCCCAGAATCTTAGTGTCTCCCCCAGTTTCTTCTCCCTGTGAACACTCCACCCCCCTGGCTCACACAACAGTTCCATTAAGCACAACCAGCAGAGCCCCACAAAGCAGCCTCTGCTGTGCACGGTTTTGAAATCGTTATGTGCTTCTCGGTAAGCAGAAAGGAAAGTTTAGGGAGTTTAAGAGCCCGGTTTTGATGCCGATACGTACCTCGCTCTTCTCGGCGCTCTGCGGGGAGCGAGGAGGGCAGAGCTGACGCCTTCCTGCTGCCGTTACTATGCAACCTCTGCTGTTGTACACATGGTGCCTGCTAGAGGGAGAACAGTTTTGGGCTGTGATCTCTTTTTTCCTCCCAGGGCAGCTCTTCTGGGGCTCACGGAGCTGCGCTCCATACGCGGTTGTACCTGGCTTAGGGACAACGCAAATATTGCAGAAAACCTGGTGATGGTTAAAGGCAACTATAACTTTGTACCCCTGATCACATAGCCACTTGCCAGGGTTTAGCCCAGAGCAAGGGAGTAGTTGCCATGGAAGGATCTATCAAAAAATGAGGCCACCACAGTGTTGGATGTGGATGCTGCAGTTTGCATAGTTTCTCCATTCATCACACAAGCCGTGTCCTGCCTGGACAGGGAGTGATGCTGAGCAATTACTGCCTTCTGCCACCTCACCTGGGGGTTAACCCCCCTGCCCCCCGCAGGGGCTAGGGCATGGGCAGCGTCTGCTCCTGCACAAGCTGGATGCTCACGTGGCCTGGAAGGGTTCCCCAGGCACAGTCTTGGTCATGCCTCCCTAAAACTGCCTCTTGGCAGCAAGCAGGGGCTCAAGTCCTGCACCTTCTCTTCCCAAACTCCCTATGGCTCTTCTTCTCCCCAAGGATTACCATGCATCCGTCAAGATGCGTCACACACTAATTGCAGGTCACAGTAACCCACTTTCTCCACCTATCCTCAACAATGGAAAGATTAATTCATGTTTCCATATACTGCAAATGAGCTAGAGACAAAAGACCAGCTAAGATTTTTTCCTCTCACAACTGCTGACCGGCAGCTCCCCTGTACTCCATGGGGAGCACTGGAGGTTGTCACTCCTGTTGCTTTTATTACCCTTCCTTTGAAGGAGTTGGGAAAAGACTACCAGAAGAGCCCAAAGAGCTGAAACCCACCTTCTTTAGTGCCCAGAAGAGAGCTGAATGCCAGAGGGTGCACCTTTTCACTATTACCTCCCAGGAAACACAGGGTTGTCCACACAAAGGGGTGGCAACAACAGTGCTTGTGCCCCTTGGTCTGACCTGAAACCTGCTGAACCCCAACTATGAGCCTGCGGATGGCACAAGCCAGGATGCTCCCTGTCAGGCAGTTAGGTGGAGTGCTGCGGCTGGTGAAGGATGTCTCTGCCCTTCTTGCTGTGGTGGTGAAAAACTAGGTTTACAAGCCAGGCAGCCATGCCAAGATGTCATCAGCTTCTACCTCCCTGTTGTCTCTTTGGCTGCCCTCACTGTGGGACAACAAAAAACATCTCAGGAAAAGTCTATTGCCCTTCACCAGCAAGCAGGACCAGGCTGTCCTACTCACAGAGACTCACGCAGGTCCAGAGGAAACTATGCAGAGTGGGGCTGAGAAAGGCAACAGCAAACACAGGTCTTTCCACAGAAACAGTGAAAGACTCCTGGCATTGAAGGTATATCCATTTGTGCATTTGCACAGACTCAGGTCTGACTCCCCGAGGAGTCTGACAGTGACATCTGCCCTGTGTTCCCTTCTTTTTTATCGCCATTACTCCATGTCCTTTTTGAGCTCACTCACATTTATCTCCCAGTTTTTTAGGGCCTCCCCCTCCTTTGGCCTTTGTAGCAGGGAGGGAGTGCATGGTGTGGCCCACCTCTTGCCTGCAACTTGTGGGCATGGCTGGCATGGACCCAGCAAGGGGAGATCTTGTGTCCTGGGATCTGGGGAAGTTGAGGTGTGTTTCTGCATTTAAGACGGTTTCATTTTAAACCTAAGTTTATGCACATAGCCCTAGAGCAAACTTACAAGAGGATACTTAAATTAATCTCATCAGCATAAGTGGAAAGCTTTGCCTTTTCCCCCCTCTAGCAGTTTCCCATTGTGTCCTCTCTGCTCTTATGATGCCTCTGTGCATGTACTTTATTGCAGTTAAAGACAATAAGGCTCTGAGGGTAGTGATAGATCTTTTGCTAACTTGACCATGCAACTTGCTAACCTACCAGCAAGTTCATTACCTAAGTTCAGCCATGGGGATCAAAGCAGTAAGACTTCAGCATGTGCCCAAGTCCATTTGGTGTACTGACAGCCTTGCTTTAACTCCTACTTGATCCATTGCTGGAAGTAATTTGTTCCTTGAGCTTGTGTGTGACTTGAAGTAAGGCTTTGTAGGTGGAGGAAATGCAAAACTAGGGTCATTCCTGAAGAGCCAGTGAACTGATAAAAGCAGTGGGGAGCAAAAGCATCTGCGAGGCAAAGTGGAGAACCCAACACTATGGCTCAAGTGATGCCTTGGGAGCAAAATAAAAGAGAGGTCAGTAAAAAGATTCTGGCAGCATGTCTCAGAGCTGCGAGGTGGCCGAGCATGCTTTGAGCCCCTTGGCAAATACAGGCAAATGCTCATCCTGACTTGCATGTGTGCATGCACACATACGGATGCTCCATACTGTGCTAGTTCATTATAGATTCCCAAAAGAAAAGGAGGAATTTTTAGCTGTTTTGATGTGGTCATCTTGTTCTTGTAAAAGAAAAGCTGGTCTCTTTGTTTCATGCTGGTTTTAATTTTAAAGGGAGTGGGAATCATTATAATGAAATAATACTGTGAGTACATGCGTAGTATTTTATCCCTGGATATACAGCCTTTCACCATGGGTCTAGTGAAAAACGGGCCCCAAGAAAATGGGGCTTTCCAGGCGTGTTCATTAATCACTGTACTGCATAGACCTGCAAAAAAAAGTAAAGGGGTGGGGGTGTGTGGTGGGATTTTTTGCCTAACCCTGCTTTCCTTCTGCATCTTCTGCCTCAACCCGCGGCAGTTGTTGCCAGCCAGTCTGCAGAGGGCGATGCAGCATCAGTCTGACCAGATTTAGGATACTTCTTTAGCTTTCCATCATCCAGAGGCTGCCCATGGTCACCAACATATTGCAGAGGCCGAGGGTCGAGATGAGGCCAAAGCTAGAGGGAAAAATGAAAGGACCAGACCATAGACACAAATTTATTTCACAATACAGTCTTTTCATGCTGCCTGCGTAGCAGCTGTTGAAATAGGAGACTGTGATCTGTGATGGATTTCACTTTCCTGTTAAATCCTGCTGCACAGGAAGACTCGAATTGTTTGTTGAAGCTTTGAAGACCATTGTAGTGACAGCTTGTTATTTTATGAGTTTGTCTGGGACTCAGAAGCCTGAGAGCAAATCTGCTTTAAAAGGCAAGAATAGAATCTTCAGGCTAAAAATCCCCCAACAACCATACACTCATCTGTTTTTCAGACTTCAGTATGCATGGTACCATTGGCATTTTTCGGAAAGGACTGCAACATGTCCACTAGTGGTAGAGACATGGCTCTCCAGTCTCCCTGAGGCTACCCATGGGAATTCATGGGTATTTGTGCCAAATAATCTCTTTGAAAAGCTGTTGCATCCTCCCTTCAATCCAGTTCTTCTTTGGGCTATTGGCGATTAATTTATCTAAACATTTATGCCGCCTATAAAAAAGGGCAGTGGGGGTAGAAGGACTTTAAAAGACCTGCAGGATGAACGGTAAAATAGGCAGGACTTCAGCCTCAGGTAGATATGGCTATAGATGTGCAAAAAGACCATGGCCAAATAGTGCTGCTCTGCAAAAATCTTTGCACGAGATTTATTCAGACAAAAAAATGATTCCCTGGGTTTATTCTTTTCAAAGGGTGATGCAGTAATACTGAGGCTTCTTACCGTTTCTGAAGGTGTGGTTTAATGGAAAGTAGTTGCAGAAGAATTTGGTCGGTCTGGAAAACACCCACTGGATGTTTTCCACTGCCCCAGGTCCACTCTAGGAAGTCTTCTGGGATTTAAGAGCATGGGCTCTGAGCCTGATCTCTTCTCTTGTCAGCCACCCTAGGGCTCATGTGTATGCTCTGCAGAGAGGTGAGCCTGCCCCAGGCCCACTGCAAACATCTGGTGATGGGAATGATTTGCAGTTTACCCAGGTGTAGGATTGGATCTATGAGCATCTTGAAAGCTGAATTCCACTCTTTGCTGCTGACATATCTCAGAAAGATCTTTTTGTCATGTATGTAACCAGAGAAAGTGCGCAGAATTTTTTCCACCTTTGGTTTCCAGTTCAGCTTGTGGCTGGGATGGAAATGCCAACTGAGTGTATTCCTATGGGGTTGTTTGTTTTTTTTTCCCATGATATGTCTTCAGTTTTTAAACCACTCTCTTTTTTCTTTATTTTTTTTTCTTTCTCGCTCATAATAGAATAATAGCAACATGTAAGAATTTGAATATTTGGCTCAACTTTACACGTCGTAAAGGGGGGATTCCTGGGGCTCTCCTGCTCCTCTACGAGTTAAGCAGGTGAGGGCTGGGGCCGAAGCTGCCATAAGAAGCGCTGGAGGGAGTGGATGCTGCACCCTGTTGCTGCTCTTGTCCAATACTAATGAGAAAGCAAAAGGGCCTCCTGTAATGCTGCACTTACAGTAGACAGCACTCTCCTTGCCTTAACCACGGGTTAAGCAAACGTATCCTTCGGAATTTTAAGGAAACAAATAACTTAAGAAATCTTTTAGACAAAGGCAAAACGCGTCAACAGTAAAGGTAGAAGTTTTTACAAAACGTATTAAAAAAAAAAAAAAATCTGGAGAATGCGGGCATCGATCCCGCTACCTCTCGCATGCTAAGCGAGCGCTCTACCATTTGAGCTAATTCCCCTCCACGAGCTGGCTCTTTGCAGGGGCACTTCTATTCTCTTCTCGCGAGACGCCGTGCGACGCTGGCCGTTCTACGTCCCGCTCTGTGTTCGCTAGTGCGGCTGCGCAGGAGCGGGCTGGGCGCTGGGCGCGTACGGGAGGATGCGCGGCGGGGCTGGGAGCTCGCGTCCTCCCGCGAGGCTCCTCACGGTAAGGACCGGAGGGGATACGGCAGGACGGGACAGGACGGGACGGGAGAAGGTTTGAGAGGCACGAGTATCCAGCGGGGTCCGCTCGGGGGGAAGCAACGGGCGGGGAGGGCTGGTAGTGTTGCCAAGGGCTTGTGTGTGGGGCCATTGGGGGTTGTGGTGTGCAGAGAGCTGCGTGTCCAGCGGCATGGGGGTTTGCGAAGGTGTGTGTGGTCGGGAGCATCTCGGGGTCTGTGGAGAGCTGTGTATCTGTGGCACCCCGAACGGGAAAGCGTGAGGTGCCGGGGGGTGTCCAGGGGC